GTCAGAATAATGCAAAAAGGCGGGTCACTAAGCCTAAAGAATGAAAAATTCAAAAAAGAAGTAGAATTAAGGAATGGACGAGGAGGTGACGACAAAGGTTGCATGGAAGAGACATTTGGATTAGCAGTCCAAACGTGTTGGCCACTGCGTACACTTGGTTACAGTAAGGTACCAGCATAAAACATGTGCGTCCCGGTGCAAGTGGTGCAACCTCTGCAGTGTTTTCTATGCCCTGACGATTTGTCCGCCTTTGGTTTGTATGCCGGCTGAGCCGATCTTGGACCCTTATTACCTCCTAGCTACAGCGTTTTTTCGACAGCGGCCATCCCATAGAGGAATAACAGAAACTACTTATATCGTGAACTTTGCCTTTAATAAGTCAGAGCTGAAGGCACGGTTTGATACCAAAGCAAAGGGTCTATCATTCACCAGAAAATCGATCTAGGACTACTTGGGAGCTAGTGAAAGGCACCATTTTCGAAGATTCGCATGCGTCCATGTAATTGGAGATTGGTTGTCGTTATTTTTTATACAGACTGCAGCGCTACTCTTTCATAGATTACTATTCAAGGATTGCATCTCACCTGAACTGAATATTGCCAAGTTGGTCTGCACGCCAAGCCTTGATTAGAGCGAAGTCGCCCCAGAGTGCCTCTTCCATCACATAATTATGGCCATTGAATTCACGAGTCTATCAGAATCAATAAATATTAGAAATCAACAAAAGTGACTAAAGATAGTGTAGCTACGACGGGGCATAAGAATATTAGATTTGAACACACCCAGAGTGGCGATGTGCACTTCATAATGCTTACGCAAACTTAAAATTATACCTACTCCGCTTTTATCGAACTTACCTCTTTAGGAGGGCTTGCAACTTCAATTTTTCCTTTCTCTGTTTGACTGTACCTCATTGGAGCACCTCCTTCTTGTATCAGTGTACCATATCCAGTTGGAGTATAAAATGCAGGAATACCAGCTCCGGCTGCTCGAATTCGCTCAGCCAATGTTCCCTATAACTTTTTCTAAATCACGGTCAGCTCTCCGTTGATGCTGAAAAAGTCATGCTGAAGTGGGCTGCTTGAGAGATGAACAGACGCTTGAAACACATGCGCAAACTGAGTTTTGCCAACAGGAGCAGAAACAAGTGTACTACGGATAATTATTGATTTCGCAAAAAGCCATCAGCTAAATTAACCAGAAAAATCGCTTTAGTTATTCATTCTTAATTTTGGAGGTTCTCTTCTATGGATTCTAGTGTTTGACAGTCCTGGATGTGGTCACGGAATCAGCGATGCGACTCCGCATATAAGAGTAATGGTCAGTTTTGGTGAAGAGTGGTAAAGGTCATTCCCAATTCAGAATACTTGTTTGACTTTGCAATCAAGCAGGTACTCTAATAAAGCTTTTGGGAATCTGAGGTATGGTGAAAAGAATGAGGGGCGAGAAATATGCCTTTTATCATAGGATTCAATACCATAATACAGAACAGAATTCAATGTATACTAACCTGCGGACTAAATTCCAATTCAAGCTCTCCAGATAGGTATTGCCTAGCAAACTCTTCATTTTCGCCAACGTAAGAGGCGATCACCTTCTTGATCTATAAATTTGTCTTTGAAATAGTAGAAAGGTACAAAGCAGGACACTGACTTTTTCATATTTATGCTTAACCACTTGTTTTACAAGCAACATAAGAAGATTATTTTCAATACTAACGATACTCCTAAAATCGCACCATATTTATTGTATACATTGTGTGTTTCTAATAAGCCTTAGTAAGTAATCAGTACATTTCCTGACTCCCAGCTTCCCATTTGACTTGTTTTCTTATATCTACCTGCACTAAAGGATATTCTGACTTCGCCTCGAATCTATTAAAAAGGTGCCGCAACAGTCTTGTCAATACAACACAATGGAAGGGATCTGCGAACTTCATGGCACCGTCCATTTGTTTCAACGCAGAGGATGTGGAGAAAAGTGTGTGGGGGAGACCGAAAACCCCCTGAAAGTCCGCCTGGACGAGCGCAAAAGAGCGTTGGTCAATGCCGCTCTACATCCACAGCAGTTTTTGGCACCGTACACCCAGGCATGAGAAAAAGCTCCATCTATGTGATGGGGTTTTGTATAAGCCTTTGGTACGGCCCCTACAGAGGAAAACCATGGAGGCACGGGAAATAGACCGCGTCAAGCCGAAAATCAAAGCAAAGTGGAGATGCGCAAACTCTTAAAACTGAATGGTGAAACTTCGTCGCCTCAGAACAAGAGCAGCGCCCCAGGTTTCCTCGTATTTATTCGCCAGTAGGTGCACATCCTAACTTATCCCAATATTTCCGCTTGATCTGATGTGATTTGATGTGTTCTGCGTTGTAACTGACTGAACGTATGCATGTATTGTGAACTTAAGGTCTGACGAGGGCATTATATGCCAAAAGCTTACCAGTAGAAGTGAATTGACAAGAGCTCCGAATAAGTGGTATGCAAGAAGAACAAATTTCATAACTATAAACCTGTCGCGTCTTGAGAAGAACTCCCAGTCCCCAGTCGTCAACGCCGGCATTATTTGATACACATGTGAGATTTTTCTGCCCGGTCTCTCGTAAAGCAGCAATGAGGTTTTCTGGAACCCCACATAATCCAAAGCCTGAGAAAATCGACTTTTAGAGCATCACAAGTTCTCTTCAACTACTCAGTGAAATCTCTCAGTGAAGCCTAAATAGACCTCCTTGTCGAAGTTACTCCTGTATAGTCCTCCATTTCAAAATATTAGGTAGGCAAATAAGCCCTGCGACAAAGAGTTTGAAGCGTCGAAAGTTTGTATCAACAGTGTGAACACGGTAGCAAGGGTGATAGACTTGTAGGAAATTCCTCAGGCAATTATTACATAAGTAAATAAGGGCACACGTAGGCTTTCAGAGCATTACGATCAATGAATTGACAACACCCGATTCGTGCCATCACCTTCTACTAAGCACGCCATGGAAAAAGCGCAGGTGTAGCGGCTCGAAATATCAGCAATCTATTCGATGCTAGCACCGATCGACGGTCAACAATCGGTTGGATCGCTTCACTGTAGGAGATACCAGCCTTCGGAGTAACGCAAGCATCGTCTCCTAATTTAATGGATGTTGAAGGAATTCATCCACTATGAGTTGCTGAACGCAGACTGGACGGACACAGCTATTGTTTGCCCCTATGATCCCCTTAATTTGGCAAACGAGGTTAGAGAAGGGCGATCAAACCGTAAATCAGGCCCCTACAGAGGGGCAACTCACGTCGAAAATCCGCATTAGACCCACATCAAAAGTTCACCGATCCCGATTGGATACTGATTACTCATCAATCTTACTCCCGGAGTGTTCCCCCCTTTTACCTATCATGTGCTCTATCTTTTTGAGCATCCCGTAGTGGAAAAGAAATTCGTAACTTTATAAGATCCAAAAACAGTAGTCAATTACTTCTTTGAGTCACAGCTCCCTCACCTCTGAAGAGATGGCATCAGTGATTGGCTCAAAGGACAGAAGAAGGTTGTTGACTTCTTTAGTAAATATTTTTCCAAAAATTGATTAATATGAAGAAATTTAGAAATGATTTAAAAAAGGTCTCCATTTTGTCGCACGTCTTATTTGCCAACCTAACAATTACAATTTTTGAGCCTCAAGGCTTAGTTATTCAATTATAAGCGATGAAGTTACAACGAACAACACTTAGATTGCAGCAGTGATCTTCGAATGTACGGAAAAAAGTACGTGAAAATTCGATTTAATTAAAAGAAAACAACAAAGTAAGAAATGGATTACTCAATACGCAAAGATTATCCTTTATTCCACCCACACGCTAAGCATTCAAAGCGGCTGATCACCGGATGGAGAGGTGCTTTGTTCTGCAATTCTTTTTGCTGCTACGGTCCTTCACCTAGTTTTCTACTTTGATAAGCCGGGTTGGGTTATTTTTGCTGTTATTAGTGTCTTTGTTGACTTCTGCGGCCATACGTACTCCGGCGGTCAAATTCCCAAACTAAAGCCTATTTTTTTAGTTTTAGCAGACATT